CCCTTGTTCCCATTTAGTACTTTTTTTGCAGTAACATCTGCTGCAGGGACAGCAGAGCAGGGCATGCACCATCCAGAAGATCCCTGGAGAGCACAGCTGGCAGCTTCTGGACCAAGCCATGGAGGAAGCAAAGAGGAGAGGTGCTCTGGTGCATCTCATAATCACCAGCAAGGAAGGGCTGGTGGGGAATGTGAAGATCAAAGAGAACCTGGGCTGCAGTGGCCATGGGATTGTGGAGCTGAGGAGTGGAGTACAGAGGACAAAGTCACACCTTTGGGCTTCAGGAGAGCACACCTTGACTTCTTCAAGTGTCTGCGGTGTGCAGTACAGAAAGAAAGCATATAGGAAGTGTAAACAAGAAGTGGTCAGCTGGGAGCAATGCAGAGAGGTGTCCTAGTGTGCCTGCTGAGTTGTGTTTAAGAAGGCCAAAGCTCAAACCCAGCTGAGTCTGCCCAAGCATATCAAAGATGGTAAAGGCTTGTAGAAATACACACACAGCACAAGGAATGCTAGGGTCAGTGTAGGTACCTAACATGAAGGACATGTAGGGCATGAAGCATCCTGTGCTGTGTGTGACCATCTAAAAAGGTCTGAGGGAAAAAGAGCTCAGTACCAGAGTGTGACTCAGTCATTGCAATGACTGAGAGACTGCAGTTCTGAGCAAAGAAATTCTGAGGGTACCGGGCTCCATGCAAGACACAAATTGATCTTATTTTAATTATGAAGAATGTGAAAGATGTTCATTAATGCCAATAAAATTGAAACCATGGTTTGAAGACAAAGATAGAAATCAATGAAAATATGCTAACACACTTCTCAATTTGAACTATTCTCATGAGTCCTCTCTCTTTTTAGGTTGAAAACACCAGTCCGTGAGGAGACTTTGTCTTTATTTACATTTTTATTTCTTCTTAAATGCAATGTTTTCCAGTACTCTGTTTTCAGGACACAGATGCCTTCAGGTACAGGAACAGACAGTGGTGCCAGTGCCAATGCCCTGTGACCAATGCCCAGCGTCCACCGCTGCTCCACCCTGCTGCGTATTTGATGTCCCTCATCCTCCAGGTGTCTCCAGCTCTCCTAAATCAATGACCGTGGTTCAGGCCATGTTTTCAGCAGGCCATCTGGACACATGCTCTTCCCACTGCTCTCCAGATTTCCCCATCCCTCGCTCTTTCTTCACTCCGATATCTCCCAACTATCTGCCTGATTTGTGACCTTTAGGAAGATTACTGGAATTTGCTCCATCTCTACAAAATCTGATGGACTCTTTGATCTGCCCCTTAACTGTGATTATGTTTATCCATTCCTATCTCTGCCTAACTCATTTTTTGTACAAATACGCTCCGTGAAAGACAAGCCTCATTAGATGCATCTTGGACAAGGCATGCAGTTGATCACTGTGTTTTACTGTCCATTCAAATGCATCACATTTCCTTCAGTTTGTTGGCCAAAAAAAAAAAAAAGAGCAATCTTTCATTGCCCATGTGCAGCTGATTCTCTGAGGAAAGCTGGGGGAAGTTGGTGCAAAGGGTGTTTAAAACTGAGCAGATGACTGCAGAGGGGAAGAGTGATGGTAGGAAAACTAATGCAAGTCCCATGGGGTCAATGGGAGTAGAAATGAGGTGGGGATGTTGAGGAGTAATTTTGTGCACACAGTGACTGAGAAAAGTTCATAAGGGAACATCCTGGATCAATATCAGCTGCCAAGTGCTGATTAAAATCCTTGCTTAAACACAACTATATATAAATAGCAAATGAATGTCGGTTGGATTCCTCCTCATTAAGGTCACTCCAGACACCTCTCCAGTTTGCTGTAGAAGTTCTCAACACATAAAAAAAAGACAGGAAGGCACAAGGCACAGGAGGCTTCTGTGGGTTGTAATGGGCCCCAGGGGGCATTTGCTGCTCAGTCCATCAACCTCCAGTGCAGAGAGAAGAGAAGATTGCACAAAGTGCTCAAGGAGACAAAGTCAGAAGGAACAGTGAAGTTTCTTGGAGTATTAATAGGCCCCTCTGAGGGCCATTCACAAGCAAGCTTCCCCAGGGACTTGTTAGAGCAGATAATTGGAAGCCATGATTGCAGGCAGACCAAGGCAGTGTGATGGTGGCTGTGATGCTGAGAAAAGCCTCCTTTGTCTTGTGAAGCAGAAAGGCCAAGCCCTGATCCCCAGAGCCTTGGCGGGGAGATCCTGTCCCTCATGCTGGCTCAGGGCCCTTCCTGAAAGAGAAGGGGACAGCAGCTCCCAGACTCTGCATGGGATGCAAGGATGCCGTGAGGCCCAAGTCCCATGTGGGCAGTGTGTCTCATCCCAGGATGTGGGATGTGAGAAGGGACCACTCTGAACAAGCAGTCAATCCCAATGAAACTTTGAACTTCAGATCTCTCAGGGCCGAGGTGAAGGCACCACTTCCTCACTGGGAAGTTTGGCTCTGACGATGCCACGTGTGATACTAACCCACATGCAGAGCTCCTTTCACATCCTGCACTTTTTCCACAATAAACCCATGCAGCACTACAGGCTTGGGGATGAGTGGCTGGATGACTGTGAAGAGGAAAGGGACCTGGGGGTGTTGGTTGATGCTTGGCTGAATGTGAGCAGACAGCATGCCCAGGTGGCTGTTAGGGAAAACGGCATCCTGGCCTGCATTAGAAATAGTGTGGCCAGCAGGAGCTGGGAGGACATCATCCCTCTGTACTCAGCACTGGTGAGGTCACACCTCAAGTACTGTGTTCAGTTTTGGGCCCCTCACTACAAGAAAGACCCTGAAACTTGTCCAGAGAAGGGCAACAAAGCTGGTGAGGGGTCTGGAGCACAGGTCTTATGAGGAGTAGCTGAGAGAGCTGGGATTGTTCAGACTGGAGAAGAGGAGGCTCAGGGGAGACCTCCTTGCACTCTCCCACATCCTAAAGGCAGGCTGTGATGAGGAGGGGTTTGGCTCTTCTGCCAGGCAACAAACAGGACCCGAGGAAGTGGCCACAAGTTGTACCAGAGGAGCTTTAGCTTAGACATAAGGAAGAACTTGTTCTCTCAGAGAGTGGTCAGGCACTGCAATGGCTGCTCAGGAGGTTGCGGAGGCTCCGTCCCTGGCAGCGTTCAACAGATGTCAGGATGAGGAGCTGTGAGATCTGGTTTAGTGCTTGTGGTAGTAATGATGATGGGAGGACGGTTGGACTCGATGATCTTACAGGACATTTCTGACCATGCAATGTTATGATTCTGTGATTCTATGATTCTAATCTGTATTGATGCACCATCACTGCACTGCTGCCTGCTGTGACAGAACAGTGGATCTGCCATCACTCTGCTCCTTCCCACTGTGACAGCACAGTGACCCTGACATTATGATGTTCCTTCCCACTGTCACAGAACAACAACTGCAACCCCACTGTGCTCATATCAGCTGTGACAGCACAGTGGAGCTGAAATCACTGAGTTTGTCTCTCCTTTACAGTGCAGTGACTCTGACATCACTGTAATACTGACCACTGCCACAACTCAGTAATTCTGACATCACTGCTCTCCGCATTTCTGATACACCACTGTGGCATTGCTGAACTCCTATCCACTGTGACAGCACAGTGACTTCAACATCACTGTGCTTGTACCTGCTATCATAGAATCCTGGCATATCCCGCAATGGAAGGGACCCATAAGGATCATTAAGTCCAACTTTTGGCTCCACACATCTGCCCTAAAAGCAGACCATATGACTGAGTGTGTTGCCTTGTCACGGAGTTATCTAGAGCAATCTGTGCCCCTGACAGAGGGCAGCAGGCCTGCAGTCCTACTGGTCAAAAATTAAAGTATGAATGATAATAACAATAACAACAACAATAATAATAACAAATCAGCGGCAACAATCTAAGGAGGAAACATAATTTTACTAAATATGGTATTGGAATGCAAGATAAAAGATAACACAATATTATAAACTAAAATTGAAATTTAGGGTAATAAATCATATAAAATGAGAGAGCGAGCGTCTGAAACCAAAAGCCTTGCTTTGAACTGGAGTCGCACGGCTGGGGAGCGAAGCCACACACTGCAGGGCAGCGAGCAAGGGAGAGATCCTGGGACTTCCTGCCATGACTGATCTTCCCCTCTGAACTCAGAGTCCTCTGGGTATGCAGTTCTTCTCTCCTGAGAGCCAGGGATCCAGAAAGTTGTCCGTCCACAGACCTGGAGTATTTACTCCTTAATTCCCTGTGCTTTACATGATGTTATGATGTGGAGTACCAATAACAAGGATCGTAAAACCAGGACACCAGATGGGGCATTTGCAGCTTTGCTAGGCACACACAGTCTGCTAGGACAAAAAATGCTGCAGGAATCAGTCTGTGTACTGGTGATTAATTCATCTGACTTCAAAGTACGTTGTGCAGAGATGACCCTGTTGTCTATCAGGAGCTGCCAATGCAGAGACCTAAGGACATCCCCAGGGAGAGCAGTGAGGAAGAGAAAATGACATCTTCTGCTGGAGAGCTGGGCCGGGCTGCTGGGACACAGGGAGCTCATAAAAGTGGGCAGTGCTGCAGAGAGACGGCTGTGCCCAGGAGCAGCTCTTCTACACAGCACAGCCTGCAGGTGACAGGAGGAGAGCAGAGAAAGGAGAGAGAGCTTGTAGGATGTGTATGGTGTGAGCAGGCTGTGAGCTCACTGGAGGAGCATCGCTGACAGCCTCTGACAAGGTCAGTCTCACTGCAGGCTATGACTCTGCCGCCTGCCAGGCTCGGTGCTCAGCCTGCCTGGGGAGCTGCCCAGGGCGCTGCGGGGAGATGTGTGGGGGGAAGGAGCCCCTCGGCAGGGCAGGGCAGGGCAGGGCAGGGCAGGGCAGGAGCCTTCTGCTGCTGGGGGCATGGGGATCACAGCTTCAGCGCTCCCAGAGTGTCTCCAAGGGCACTTTGCAAGAGGAGAGACAAGGCAGGGATTTTCCCATACCTGTCCTTAGGGAAGGAGAATGAGTTGGAGGCAGAGATCTGAAAGGAGATGTGAAATATGATCACAGCTATAAGAGTCCTGAACTGTACGTTTCTCAGTCTGCAGTTACATGCACAAACTCCTCATGTGCTTTCAGCCCCTCTTCTCCCAAAGGATTGCACCAGCTGAAATTTCCATGCTTCTCTGCAGACATGAATAATGCACTTGTCCAGCAAACAGGCAGCTTTCTCTAGTAGAAATTCAAGTGCACAGAGGTAGGAATGGGCACTCTGAGTGCAGACAGACAAAAGATACATGAATGGAAATATGTCATAGGAAGAAAGTATCCAGGAGGCTGGGATATGATTAGGCAATGAGAGGAAAGCAAGAGCTCCTTCATCTTTGACTTCTCAAGGGATGGTGAAGCTCATGTAAATTCAAGTTATGGAGTTAAATGAACCCTGTCCTAAGAGAAAGAAAAACTGTTATAGTATAGGGGTGGAGTGTCTCTGAAAAAGCTCTTGACTCGTCATTATCTTCTGCACTCTGCACAGGACTCCAGGCCCAGCAGGAACTGCAGATGCCCAACAGCAGCTCCATCAGCGAGTTCCTCCTCCTGGCGTTGGCAGACACGCGGCAGCTGCAGCTCCTGCACTTCTGGCTCTTGCTGGGCATCTACCTGTCTGCCCTCCTGGGCAACGGCCTCATCAGCACAGCCGTAGCCTGCCACCACCGCCTGCACACCCCCATGTACTTCTTCCTGTTCAACCTCGCCCTCCTCGACCTGGGCTGCATCTCCACCACTCTCCCCAAAGCCATGGCCGATGCCCTCTGGGACACCAGGCACATCTCCTACGCTGGATGTGCTGCTCAGGTCTTCTTTTTATTATTCTTATTTTCTGCAGAGATTTTTCTTCTCACCATCATGTCCTATGACCGCTACGTTGCCATCTGCAAGCCCCTGCACTACGGGACCTTGATGGACAGCAGAGCTTGTGCCACCATGGCAGCAGCTGCCTGGGGCACTGGGCTTCTCTATTCTCTGCTGCACACTGTTAATACTTTTTCACTGCCTTTTTGTCATGGCAATGCTGTGGATCAGTTCTTCTGTGAAATTCCCCAGATCCTCAAGCTCTCCTGCTCTACTTCTTACCTCAGAGAAGTTGGACTTATCATATTTAGTGCCTGCATTTTTTTGGCTTGTCTCATTTTCATTCTTTTCTCCTATGTGCAGATCTTCAGGGCCGTGCTGAGGATGCCCTCTGAGCAGGGACAGCACAAAGCCTTCTCCACGTGCCTCCCTCACCTGGCTGTGCTCTCCCTGTTTCTCAGCACTGCCATATTTGCCTATTTGAAGCCACCCTCCTTCTCCTCCCCATCCCTGGACCTGGTGGTGTCATTTCTGTACTCAGTGGTGCCTCCAGCACTGAACCCCCTCATCTACAGCATGAGGAATCGGGTGCTCAAAGATGCCCTCAGGAAACTCTTTATATATTTTTTTCTTCAGCATTAATTTTATCTTCATTATCTTCACATGAGTACCACAAACACAAGAAAAGCTAGGAATGGCATCATGTAATATTTCATATATTTTTTATTTATTTTTAATACTTAGAATAGTTTTTACTCCACTTAAACAATATTATTGATTGGTATTTCCCATCTACATTTTTTTTTCTTACTTCTGAAAGCTTTATTGTTCCTCAAGCCGTAGACTGTTTGAGAAGATTAAAAAAATAAAAGCAATAAGAAAATAATTAGACTATCATCTGCATCTCAGGGGAGCCTGCAGGAACCAAGAGCCCAGTGCCACACGGAGCAGCAGCCCTGGTGTCTGTGGGGCTGCCCCTCACCGCCTGCTGGGCGCTCCCTCTCTGCTGCCTTTGAGTTGTGCTGCTGCTTCCCTGCAGCCACAGCCACGGGCAGCAGCAGGACGTGGTCTTTTCAGTGCTGCTCTCTTTGCACCACCACACTGTTCTCCATTCGCCTTGCATTTGTGTCAGCCCTCAGGTCCTGCATTACGCAGCAGGCCAACAAAAAACACTTTGCCTGTGGTGTGCCTGGAGTTGCCTCAAAGGCTTGGCAGAGCATTGCCATGTCAACAGGATGCAGGCTGGAGACTTGGGGGAGGAGGGAATCCTATGAAAAATGACACAGCCTTGCTCTGTCCAAAATGTTTTCACTGTGCTATAGGAATTTCTGACTGCAAACTTGTTTTTGATGGACTTGTTTATTGCCAACTCACTCACAGCCCTGGGTGGCCCACCTGTAAACTGAGGAGCCAAAGAAGGATGCCAGAGAGATCCTTGAGGTTCTGTTTTGAGACTTCCATGCTACAAAGTTATGGGTCAAGCATGCTCACAAGCCAAGCCCCCCCCACCTCCATTGGCTGGATCAAAGCTGGAACCCAGACCTGTGATCTCTTTCTCTGTCCCTCTCTCTCTTTCCCCCCACCCCCCCAACTCTGTCTCTCTCTTTTCTTTCTCTTCCTCTCATAAAGATGTTGAGTAACACAAGACTTACTTGGGTTTCTTAGAACATCACAAAGTGTAGCTGCACATGGAAATACTTGTAGAAGTGCCAGTACCTTACAGATAACCATAGTGCTCAGATTAGCCTTAAAACTGGTGACTGTGTCTGGACACTGAGTGTCAGTTTCACTTATCTAACCAGGAGCTGCAAATCTGGGCACCCCTCCTTCCCTTTGTGTGTGGGGTGTGACATGTTCCCTACTGACAGTCCTCAAGGCAGGGGCGTTATGGCTCTCTATGGCTCCTTGCCATGAGATTTCTATGGGTCCCTGTGGCTCCCTTTGGGTCTCTATGGGTCTTTAAGGGTCTCTGTGGGTCTCTATAAGTGCCTTTCTGTCACAGAGTTAACTACATCAATCTATGCCTGTGACTTGGGGGCAGTAAGCCCCTGGTCGTGTCCATCCCCTCCCCAACCCCCCGGCCCCACAGAATGGGAAGGGAGGGGGAAAAGGGATTGGGAGATGGGAGTTGGGCTCAAGGAAGAAGAAAAAACAATCAAACAAACAAAATATCAGCAATGATCTATGGAGGAAAACTTATTTTACTATGATATTGGAATTCAAGATAACACAATATAATACAATCTAATTGAAATTCAGGCTAATAAATCAAATAAAATAAGGGAATGAGTGTCTGAAACTGAACATTCTACTTTGAACTGAAGACACATGGCTGAGGAGCACCACAACACTGCCAGGCAGTGAGAGAGGGAGAGATCCCATGACCCGCCTATGACTCCTTCTCTGAACGCAAAGTCCCCTGGGAGATGCAGATCTTCTTGTCTCAGAACCAGGTATCCAGAAAGTTGTCAGTCCACAGAACTGGAGTATTAACTCCTTAATTAGCTGTGCTTTACATGATGTTATGATGTGGAATGCTGATAGCAAGAATCACAAAACCATGGCATTCCGTTCCTTACTCTACATCACTACATCATGCTTAATATATCTATTTATCTCTCTATATATATATAGAGAGAGAGAGAGAAAAAAGAATAATTAAAATGCATTACACACACGTGTGTATATAAATATATACACATATAATAAATGACTGCATTCCCCAACATCAAATTCCTCTGTGGTACACATTGAACATCCCCATTTTCCTGCATCACCCACCATGTGAGCCCTGGTCCCTGTGCACAAACAGCTCCACAGAGAAGAGCTTTGCCCATTCCAGAAGCTGCAAGAACCCAAACTGCTTTTCCCAACATGCTCTTTACATGTACTACAGGGATTTTATCTCCCTCTACGGTATGTAGGGAGCTGCATTGGGTAGGACCATCATGATTGATAGATCCTCCGGTATTGACCAAGCTGGTGGCCTCTGCCAAGTGCTTCTCCCAGTGCTTAAATCTTCCACCACCCATTGCTTTCAGCATAGTTTTGAACAATCCATTGTATCGCTCAATTGTACCAGAGGCTGGTGCATGGTAGGGAATATGATAAATGCACTCAATGCCATGATCTTTGGCCCAAGTATTTACAAGAGAATTTTGAAATGAGTCCCATTATCTGACTCAATCCTTTCTGGGGTGCCATGTCGCCACAGGACTTGTTTCTCGAGACCCATTATGGTGTTTCGGGCGGTAGCATGGGGTACTGCATATGGTTCAAGCCACCCAGTGGTTTCCTCCACCATGGTGAGCACATAACGCTTACCACTGCGAGATCGTGGCAAGGTGATAGAATCAACCTGCCATGCCTCCCCATATTTGTAATTTTGCCATCGCCTTTCCCCCCAGAGAGGTTTCATCCTCTTGGCTTGTTTAATTGTGGCACGTGTTTCACAGTTATGCATGATCAGTGCAGTAGTGTCCATAGTTCAGTCCACCCCTCAGATTCTAGCCCATTTACATGTTGCATCTCTTCCTTTATGGCCCGAGGTCTCACGGGCCCATCGAGCCAGAAATAATTCACCCTTGTTCTGCCAGTCCAGGTCTATTTGAGCCACCTCAATTCTGGCAGCTCGGTCTACCTGATGGTTATTTTGCTGTTCTTCAGTAGCCCGACTCTTGGGCACATGAGCATCCACATGATGCACCTTTACAGCCATATCCTTTATTTGGGCAGCAATGTCTTTGCACATTTCAGCAGCCCAAATAGGTTTACCCCTCTGTTGCCAGTTGTTTTGTTCCCGCTGCTGTAACCACCCTCATAAGGCATTTCCCACCATCCATGACTTGCAGATGACACCACGTTGACAGGAAGTGTCAATCTGCCTGCGGGTTGCATGGCCCTACAGAGGGATCTGACAGGCTGAAGCCAATGGGATGAAATAAAACAAGACTGAATGCGAGGTCCTGCGCTTGGGCCACAGCAACCCCAGGCAACGCTACAGGACTGGGGCAGAGTGGCATGAAAACTGTGTAGAGGAAATGGACCTGGGGGTATTGATTGATGCTCAGAGGAACACGAGCCAGCAGTGCGCCCAGGTGGCCAAGAAGGCCAATGGCATCCTGGCCTGTATCAGAAATAGCACTGCTAGCAGGAGTAGGGAAGTCATTGTCCCTCTATACTCAGCACTGGTGAGGCCACACCTTGAGTGCTGTGTTCACTTTTTGGACCCTCACTTCAGAGAAGACACTGAGGCCCTGGAGCACATCCACAGAAGGGTAAGAAAGCTGGTAAGGGGTCTGGAGAACAAGTCTTATTCTCCAGACAAGTCTTATGAGGAGCAGCTGAGGGAGCTGGGTTATTTAGTATGGAGAAAAGGAGGCTCAGCGGAGACCTTATTGCTCTCTGTAACTACCTGAAGGGAGGTTGCAGGGAGCTGGGGGTCGGCCTCTTCTCTCATGTCACAGTAATAGGATAAGAGGGAATGGCCTCAAGTTGCACCGGGGGAGATTCAGGCTGGACGTTGGGAAATAACAACATTACTGAAAGGGTGGTCAGGCACTGGAATGGGCTGCACAGGGAGGTGGTGGAGTCACTGTCCCTGGAGGTGTGCAAGGAACGTTTGGACGTTGTGTTGAGGGGCATGGTTGAGTGAGACCTATTGGTGATGGTTGGATGATTGGACTGGATGACCTCGTAGGTGTTTTCCAACCTTGGTGATTCCGTGATTCTATGACCTCCAAACCCATGGTGGCCAAACTGGCAGGAGCAGCTCACCCTGACCAACATCAGGCAGTACTGCTTGGTCTGCAGATTATCACCTGCCTCATCTCTGCAACTACAGTAGTGTCTCTCAGGGAAGTCAGATGCAGCCCCACACTCCTCTCCAGATTCTCTGATTAAATCAGAAGCAAATCGTTATGCTATGATGAGCAAACCATGCTATCTACCAGTATGATGACAGAATCTTTCTTTCCCACCGTTCCCTTCCCTGCACGTGAAGCAGCAATCTGCTGATCATCAGAGGGCTTCCTTTGCCATCAGAAGGTGTCTGTGGTCATCTGAAGGCTTCCTTGGTAGTCAGAGTGTTCCACTGACTGTCAGAGATGTTCATTAACTGACAGAAGGCATCATTAATCAAGAGAGAGTGTCACTGGTCATTCATTGATCATCTGGAGATCTGAGATGTCCATGGGAAGGGATATGCAGACCTTGTTTTGGGGGCAGGGGGACTGAAGGAAGAGGAATGAAGCAGACCCAAAGGAGGGACAGGTGGCTGCAAGAAGAGAGGGGTTAAAGGAGGGTGACGTGGTCACACCCCGTGCTCCACGTGGAGATGTGGAGAAAAGGATGAAGGGTTTGGAGAACCTGGAAGGAGGAGCAGAGAGAGAACAGAGGGAGGGTATTGAGGCTGCTTAGCAGCATGAGAAACTCCATCCTTTAGGACTCTGGAGCAGACGATAAGAGAGTGGGGAAGCCCACAGGGGTGTAGGACAAGGTGAGCATGGCATGGAGCTGGGGATCTCTCCCAGCACTTTGTGGTGGCCACTGCCAGGCAGGAACAGATCTGAGTGGTCCCTGCTGAGCATGAGAAGAAGAACACAGATACACAGAGAGAAGCTTTGCTGAGGGCTTTATTGATCATCAGAGGGTGTCATTAATCATCAGGGTCTTCATTGGTCATCAGAGGGCAAC